TCCTTCTCCTCCTCCTTTTTCTCCCCCTCCCCCTCCCCCTCCCTCTCCTCCCCCTGCCCCCCTGCGGGGGGAGCCCATCGAGCCGAGGATCGCTCGCCCGCACATCCCCGCCTCCGCCATCGGCGGCGAGCCTTGGGGGGGGGGGGGGACGGGCCCCCGCAGAAGGCTCGGAAGGCCTGGGGCCGTCCGAGAAGCTTGCTGAGCCTTCCCCGAGCTTCCTGGCGCAATCCGAAGAAGAAATGGAGGGAGAGCTGAAAGGACTTCCAGCACCGGCTCTTCGCCTGGGTGGCAGTGCGGACCACCGCGACCCTTATACGGACCAAGGACGGGCCGACAACGAAAAGCGGCCCAGGCAAGAGACAAACACGGGCAATAGAGAGCGAGCAGCCGAGAGCAAAGAACACTTCTCAGAAGGCTGGGGGGCTCTGGGAAGCCCCGCCGCCTTCTGAGAAGGCCTTCTCTCCCTCTCCCACGTCCCCCCCCCGGGCGCGCCGAGGCTCCCCGAAGATATCATCGACGGGGGGGGGGCAGGCTCGGCGGTGGACGCTCTCCCTCTGCCAGAACTTGGCCCGAGAGAAAGTGGACAAGCGCGCTCCACTACTCGCAAGTCAACTGCTCGTAAATGGCATGGATCCGCCTCGGGGGATTCACGATATATCACGCAGAGGAAGACATGTTTTTCTTTTGTTTTCTGACGTTTGCGAGTAAACACTTTGCGAGTACTGGAACGCGCTCGGCAAGGAATGTGTCCTCAGAGTAACGGGCCCCCAAACCGAAGACCCCCCAGCCCGGCACCGGCTGCTCATCCTGGGCCGCAGTTTGACGGTCCCCGGTCCCGTGGAGGGCCCCGGGAGCGGAACACCTGCAGGACCCCTCTCCCGCAGGGCCTGGGGCGGTGGGCTCTCGGGCCCCCCTATCGGCGATGACTCGGCGATTCGGGGGTCGATGCGTCTCCCACTGAGCCTATCCCCCCCGACTTGGCGGCGCGCCCAAGGGGGCAGGGGTAGGGGGGAAGGCTTCTCAGAAGCAGGCTGCTCCTCAGAAGGCGCCGGCCCTGGATCTACAGAGAAGGCCCGCGCCTTGTAAGGACCAGCCCCCCTCAAAGAAGCCTGCCCCCCTCCACCAGACAGTCAACCCGTACCATAAGGACGCTCGATAAGGATGCAAGGGCCTTGGAGGGCCATGTCGATACTCTGCGAGCGGGGCGCAGCCAGCGAAAGCGTCCAAGGATGGGCCGAAGGAGAAGGTTGCAAGGGTGACCCTGCAAAATTGCTCAGCCTTCCTATGCGGGCTGGCTCTACCCCCCTCCGAGCGCGGCTGACCAATGTTGCCGCTGATCCTTCCCCGCGCGGCGGGTCCGACGCATCGGCGTAGAGGGCCTCCAGGCCTCGGGGCTGCTGCGCGGCAGATTAAGCCGGCGCAATGGTAGAGTTTGCTGTGGGCAGCTGAGACGTGAAGAGCGTGGGAGGATACCCCTGAAAATCCTCGCCCTCCATCATCATCATCATCATCATCATCATCATCATCATCATCATCATCACCACCATCATCATCATCATCATCAGCAGCATCAGCATTAGCATCAACATCATCATCATCATCACCACCATCACCATCATCACCATCAGCATCAACATCATCTTCACCATCAGCATCATCAGCAACATCATCAACATCATCATCGTCATCATTATCCCAGTGCGACCCTACCTAGGAGTTGGAGCCCCTAGGAAAGCAGCATTAGTAGTAACAGTAAAGCTACGCTAAAGCTAAGCTAAAGCTAAGCTGAGGCTAAGCTAAAGCTAAGCTGGAGCTAAGCTAAAGCTAAGCTGAAGCTAAGCTAGAGCTAAGCTAAAGCTAAGCTGACGCTAAGCTGACGCTAAGCTAAAGCTGAGCTAAAGCTAAGCTAGGCTAAGCTAAAGATAAGCTAAGCTGAGCTAAGCTAAAAGAAGCTAAGCTGGAGCTAAGCTAAGCTAAACTAAGATGAGATAATCGAAGCTAAGCTAAGCTAAGCTAGGCTAGGCGAAGCTAAGCTAAGCTAAGCTAAGCTAAGATGAGATAAGCTAAGCTAAGCTAAGCTCAGCTCGGCTAAGCTAAGCTTAGCTAAGCTAAGCTGGGTGAACCCAGGGGGCGCAACTGGGGGAACCGCGGGGCGGATGCCGGGGAACCGCCCGGGACGGTTTACACTGCCTGGCCCTTTAAGCCCACAGGTTAAGAACCCTTCTAGGCAGAGCCTAGGTAGGGAATAAAGAACTAATTAACTAAATACATACATAAGGGGACGTAACTGGGGGAACCGCGGGGCGGATGCCGGGGGAACCGCCCGGGGCGAGGAACACTGCCCGGCCCTTTAAGCACACACAGTAAGAACCCTTCTAGGCAGAGCCTTGGTAGGGAATAAACGTCATCGTCATCATTAGCATCATCCTCCGAATCCTCATCAGCATCATCATCATCATCATCATCATCATCATCATCATCATCATCATCGTCGTCATCGTCATCGTCATCGCCATCGTCAGCCTCGTCATCATCGTCATCAGCCTCATATTCATAAGTCATCACCATCATCCTCAATGGCAACATAGTCATCATAATCATCAGCAGCAGCAATAATCATTGTCATCAGCATCAGCATCAGCATCGTCATCATCGTAATCAGCTTCATCATGATCATGATCATGAACATCATCATCAGCGTCAGCATCATTGCCACCATCATAATCATAGTCACCATTATCATTCCCAACGACAACAAAGTCATCATGACCATCGTCATCAGCAACATGATAATCAGCATAATCAGTATCAGCAGCATCATCAGCATAATCACAATTACCATCATCAGCATCAGCATCAGCATCAGCATCAGCATCATCATCATCATCATCATCATCGTCATCATGATCTCCAGCATCAACAATATACTCAGCAGCACCATCATCATCAGCATAATGATCGTCATCGGCATCAGCATCATCAGCAGCAGCATCAGCAGCATTCACATCATCATCAGCATCATTATCATCAGTATCATCATCAGTAGCAGCATCGTCAATAGCATCATCATTATTGTCATCATCATTAACAGCACCATCACCACCACCACCATCACAATCATCATCATCACCATCAACATCAGCATCCGTATCAGCAAGGGCATCAGCGTCATCATCATCATGGTCATCATCAGCACCATCACCATCATCATCATCAGCAGCAGCATCATCATCATTATCATCATCAACAGCATCATCATCAGTAGAGTCATCGCCATGATCATCAGCATCAGCAACATAATCATTATCACAACCATCATCATCAGCAGCATCAACATCAACAGCAGCAACAACAGCAACATCCGCATCAACATCAGCACCATCACCACCACCATCACAATCATCATCAGCAGCACTAACAGCATCAGCATCATCAGCATCTTTTGCATCGTCCTGATCATCATCATCATCATCAGCATCATCATTATCATGATCACCATCACCATCATCGATCATCGTCGTCATCATCATCACCACCACCATCACCATCATCATCACCATCCTCATCCTCATCCGCATCTTCATCATCCTCATCATCATCATCACCATCATCAACATCATCATCATCATCCCATCAATATCATCATCATCATCCTGATCCTCACCCTTCTCCCCCCTCCTCCTCCTCCTCCTCCTCCTCCTCCTCCTCCTCCTCGCCATCAGGCACTCAGGCAGTCAGGAGGTGGAGGAAAAGAAGGAAGAGGAGGAGCACAACAAGGCGGGGTCAGAAGAACAAAGGCCTGCCGCAATCTCACGCCCTGGGCCCCCCCCAGAAGGCGCCGAGGCCCAACCCTCCTCTCCCTCTTCCCGAGCAGCGGCCGATCAAACTCTGCCCCGCGGCGCCCCGCTCGTTGGACCCATGCAGGCCCGCGTCTCGAAAGCGTGTCCGGCGGCGGCGACGGGAGCCGCCAGAAAGGCCCCAACAAAACGAGCGCACGGCGCCGTCGTCATCCACAGCGCCCACGTCGATCCCACACGCTCTGGCGTTATAACAGTTTCAACACGCGGCCCCGGAGATCCCGACCCTTTACCCGGGGTTTGTTTTTCGCCCCAGGTGAACTGTTGAGGGTCCTGGGCCCCAAAAAACCTCCTGAGACTGAAATGTATGGACAAGCGTGGGCTCGAAGGAATGATGGCCCAAGAGGGCGCCAAGAGGTGCCCAGCAGAAGCCCCAGATGGTGAACACGGGCCGACACTGCGAGCTATCCGCCCCAAGATGACCCCCGAGACTGCCAGCAGGTCCCCGAGGCCCCCGAGACTTGCTCGGCGGCCAAAAAGTGGGGGAGAGAAGCGAGGCGCGGCCGCGGAGGGCGGAGGAGGAGGGAGGGCACTCACAGCATCGAGGAGAGAGCTCTGGCACACGCCAGGCATGACAAAATCGCGTTGTCGGGGGACCCTGGCCCCCCTCGGCCCTCGGGGACTTCCTGTCTCGGGTCACTCCAGACCCGGGTCAGTCGGGCCTTGCAGGGTCCTGCAAGATACTGCAGAATCCTGCACCCAAGCCGGGGTCGGTGCGACCCGTGGCTCCGCAGTATCCTGCAAGATCTGGCGCTCTGACTGGCCCCTGTCTGCATCGACCCCCGTCCCTGGAGCCCCGACCCCCCCCCCCCTGCACGGTTTCCACCGGTGCCGTAGGCGACCCGAGGAGGAGGAGGAGGAGGAGGAGGAGGAGGAGGAAGAGGAGGAGGAGAGGAGGAGGAGGGAGAAGAAGGGAGGCGGAGAAGGAGCAGCAGGAGGAGGAGGAGGAGGAGGAGGAGGAGGAGGAGGAGGAGGAGGAGGAGGACGGCTCGCCTGAGCCCTTCGGAGAACCCCTCCCCCCCCCACCTCCCCTGGCGCGCCCGGCGCTGAGCCCGCCGCCGGCCGCGCCCGCCCCGCCCGTCAGCTCGAGCGCCTCCTCGAACAGCTGGGCGGCGCGCCGCAGGTAGAGCGC